ATCTCTTGAAACTGAATGTCCCAATCACCCCAGACGAACCCATTAATGCCATTCCTCCTTGGCTGGATATATCAGTTACTATTAATTACACTCCTGTTGGTAGTAAGCAATTGTTAAACACCGATGTGATGAGATGTGTCTCACTAGAAACTATTAACAGACACATAGAGAGTATTAAATCAAGTGAATGTTATGCTTTTGCTGATGGTTCTGTGCAGACAAACACAGGTAGAACAGGCTGTACAAATGTAATATATAAAGAAAAAGAGATCATAGTGTCAAGCAAGGAAAGTCAACAATTGGGCCAGCGCAACACGAACTGAACTAACTGGAATCTACTTAGCTACAGGCTACCGGGGTGATAGTCTGTGACTCTCAAAGTGCTTTGAAATCAATGAACAGCCCGCCAGGTTCTATGTCTAAAGTTGTATGTGATGTTAAAGGAAATGTGATAACTGCCAATGAGAACAACTCTCGTATCGAATTTGTGTGGATTCCGTCCCATATTGGAATTAGGTATCATGACCGCGCTGATAGACTGGCCAATTAGGTATGTAAGAAAGAAAATGTTGATCGTGACCTTGGCCTGTCCAATGCTGTACTTAAAAACATTCAAGTCAGATTAATGAACTCTGATCTAGAAGAACTGAGAAATGCAGAGAGACCTAGCAGTTGTAACATTAGTAAATATGACAAATTTTGTGAAGATAGGTACCGGTATGGCCAGCATAAGGACAGAACCAGACAATGTGATGTAGTCGTGGCCAGAATTAGGTTCGGATACAGACACATCTGGCAAGTTAGTAACGCTATACCCTAACCGGAACACTCAACATGTAAACTTTCTAATAAATCCTTAAAGCATACACTTGAACACTATATTATTGAATGTGACGCTGTCAAAGACTTCAGGCCACCTGGCTTATTGTATCATGAACTTTGTAATTTCTACATTGAATCAGGGGTGCTTGAGGACATTCTTGTTGTTTATCCCCCAATTTGCTAGCCCACACTGATTAATCTGTCTTGCATGGCAATGAACAGTGGCATCACCCACTTGACTCTGACCTTTATATACTGCTAATGAATATGATGTATTTCTTTGTGTACGAACCTCTGTCCTGCATGGCAGTGAACAGTGACATCACCCACATGAACCTGACCTATGTATACTATAATGAATATGATGTATTTCTTTGTGTATGAACCTCTGTCCTGCGTGGCAGTGAGAAGTAATACCACCCTCAGTGTCAAGACCTGACTGAATTACTCAGAATAGGCAAACTGTACTCCAAGCTTTGTCAATAAATTTTTTAAACTAAAAACGGGGTGGTATCGTTCATTCAGGACAGGCACGCCTCCTGCCGCGAAAACCGCATGTCAGGAAAGAGTGGACTCTGTGTCGAAAACATGTTTGCGTACACGCGGGAGAGATTGTGTTGAAAGCGTACAGTACAGCCAGACTGGATCGCCAATTGTAAATAAAATTTAAGAACGAGTGAGTTGCCCTTTCTATTATAAAATGGTAGTTTGTGACAGTTAAGTAACGTTGTGAGTAAGGGCGCAGTAGTGTTTCTGGCATCAGTTTATGATCTTAGCAGTTGTGTAATGAATCCCTCCACTGATTGTGGTGCCTCTGTTGTGGTGTTAGTGTGACATCGCTCGTGCTTATTGCACGCGTTTATATTACTTCAGTTGTATGACATCTCTTATATGACTTCAGTTGTATGACATCGCTTATATGACTTCAGTTGTATAACATCTCTTATATGACTTCAGTTGTATGACATCGCTTGTATAACTTCAGCTCATCGCTTGTATGACATCACTTGTATGACCTCAGTTATATGACATCGTTATAAACGAGTAGGCGTGTCAGTTGAAGAGCATTCCCGCTTAACCGAACATCTCTATAACTGTCCACCGAAAGAGCCAAATCGAGTTCACTCTGCCGCCAGTTATGGAAAGGAACAAGGCAGAGGAGATAAGCCTAGCCAGCGTAGAAGACCTGGAGGCCCTGAACGACGGAGATGCTAACCGGTCACTCACACAGCCAGGGCGAAGTGAAGAAACCCTTTCACCCGAGAGAAGAGTGAAACCAACAGGGCAGATGAATAGGGTAAAGGAGGGTTATCAGCAGACGCTCACCCAATTGACGACAAAGAAGCAGAATATGAAAGATCATATGGAGCAACTGCATACTTTAGACGATATGGAGGATTTTGGTGAGATGCTGTCATTACCAGGGGGAAAGCCTTTTCTGGAACCGAGTGAGGGGATAACAGCCACGACGAGGTATCCACGAGACACACGTTGTCAAACCGCCGGAACCAGGAGTGTCTAGCTGCTACACCTCGACACCCACCCAAGGAGGGTTCCCAACACTCAGCGCCTCAGAATCGAGAACATCTCATCAGGGGAAGGGGATAATGTTTCCACCCGTCATGCCCACTTTCCGGAAGCAGTGACACCAACAGGAACCCAGAAGAAGGAAAACCAAGCACATGATATACAGCCCAGGACGGATGGAAGGGAGGACATCGGACACGATGCTACCAACCCAGAGACTGGAAGAGTTAATGGCCACTATAAGGCTTCCCCAGAGGCCGATGCCGAGGTTCAGAGGAGGGACTTATGACATGTATTGAGAGTTCAAGCATGCTATCCAACGACACATTGGAGAAGCGCCCATACCCTATGCACTAAAATTGGAAACACTTCTCTCGGCCTACACCGGCCGCGCTAAGAAATCCCTAAGAGCTTGCCTGCAAATAGAAGACCCCAGGGCAGGGTACGAACAAGCTCTAGTCTTGTTGGAAGAGCATTATGGCAACAATCAAGCCTACATCCAAGAACTAATAGGCAAGGTCCTACTTGGCCCAGCGGTGAGAACAGATGACATTAAATGACTTCAGGAGCTCGCGGACTATCTGGGAAATTGCGTAAACAACTTAAAGGTACTGGGAAAACTGCACGAAATTAACACGTACGAATCACTGAATACTGTGGCTAAGAGATTCACGGGAAAGATCAGGGAGCGATACGAGCATATGACTATGAAAGAAGACACGAGAATTCTCCAGGGGTCGAGTGCATGAAGGATTTTGCACTGGAGATGCTAGACAGGACAAGGAGGGCTTCGAGGGGATGAAGACAATAAGAGCTGAGTGGGAGACGAACAGGCTCACCCCCATACCCTTCCTCATCAGAAAGGAGGCCTGTGGGCCTAGTGACTTCGGGAAGAGAGGAGGTTAGAGGAAGGGACGACCGCACTTGCCCGTTGTGCCCTGGAAATCTCCCTCTGCAGAGATGCCAAGCATTCCTCAACATGTCGACTGGAGCGCGAACTTCACTCGTACGTGAAGAACGTCGCTGTTTCGCCTGCTTAGATCCCGCTCACTGGATGACCGAGTGCATCCAGAAGACAAGGTGCGGCATAGGTGGCTGCTATAGCTTCCACTCGAATCTCCTACACTTCTCGAGAAATTGTATGCGCAATAACACGCCAAACCAGGACGAACCATCAAGAAAGGAACTCTTAGCCAGTTTTTAAGGGATAAAAAGAGCTTCCACCTTGGATGCACACCAGTCAGAAGTATCGCCCGACCACAAGCGGCAGAAGCTAGGTGACTGTCTACTCAAGGCCATCATGTCGGTACCGAAATCAATGACCAGTGCAGCTAGGCCATGGAAACCCGAATCCAGCTCGAGAGTTACGAAGAAAAGGGCTGGAAACAGGCAGGTTGCACTGGTGACCACGAACCGAGAAAACCCGTATAAATGGGCCAGAGATACTTACGATCGAGAAAATAACCAGTGCGAGGGGCCCGAAGATTACGACATATGACTAGCAGATCCAGACAGAGTTGCACTCCCTATATTAAACGTCAAGGTCGGGGAGATAAGGCCAGAAATGAATACAACAGTGATCACCGGAGCACTCTTGGACTCAGGCAGCAACAGGTCTTACTGCACCGAGAGCCTAGCCAACCGACTACGAATAACAGAGAAGTCTTTTTCAATCTCCTTAGGCACGATCCTGAGGGAGACAAAGAGCGTGAAGGCCAAAGAGATTGATCTGAAGGTGACTAGCGTCGGAGTGAGCAGAAGTCGATCCATGAACATTCCCAGAATCCTCAGAATTAAAGACCTTCCTTTCTTCACTGGAAGTTTCGGTTGCGGACACAGAGCTGTTGCCAAGTGGAGGCACCTCCAAGGAACCACACCGCTCCACGCACCGGAAAAAGTGGATCTCCTGATAGGGTTAGATGTACCACAAGCCGTAACACCGTTAGAAGTTAGGACCCGGGAGAACGGAGAGCCGTTCGCGATGTGCACACTTCTAGGATGGACCATAAAGGGACCGATTGAACCTAGCAATCAACCACCTCATCTCAGAAAAGCCGCTGAGCCTGGAAACACGTTTAGAGAAACAGGTCAGACACTTCTGGGAATATGACTAAGACTACTGCAATGAAAACCCCATCTCTGTTGAAGACAGAAGAGTCCTGGTGCTGTGGTCAACTTCAGTGACGAGGGTGGACGGGCACTATCAACTTCCCATACCGTTTAGTCATGAAGTGCCGGGACTCCCGAATAACAGGAAACTAGCTGAGCAACTGTTAGCAAGTTTGAAGAAACTTCTCCTGAAAGACCCAGACCTCCGTCAAAAATATCGAGAAGAGATGCAAAACCTGATCAACAAGGGACATGCTGAGAGAGTCCCATACCGTGAGCTTACCATTGTGCCGGGGAAAACCTGGTATCTCCCACATCACCCAGTATTGAACCAAAATAAGCCCGGGAAGTTGAGAATAGTTTTTGACTGTGCAGCAATGTATGAGTCAGTGTCCCTGAACAGCCAAGTGATGCAAGGGCCAGACCTCACCAACAAATTGATGGGAGTCTTAATTAGGTTCCGTCAAGAAAGGGTGGCACTCATGGCTGATATCGAGGCTATGTTCCACCAGATACGAGTACTGCCTGAACATTGAGACTCCATGCGCTTCCTGTGGTGGACAGACGACCAACTATCGGGAGACCTGGTCACTTACCAGATGAAGGTATATCTCTTTGGGGAAGTGTGGAGCCCATCATGTGCTGGATATGCACTACGACGAACATTCCAAGACCACGGGCAAAGGCTCCATGAAGAAATTAAGAAAGCAAGTCGCAACTTCTATGTCGATGATTTGCTTCTTTCAGTAGCATCACCAGGGAAGGCGGCGATAGTCACTCACCAACTGAGGCAGTTGATGAAGAAAGGCGGGTTCAGTCTTACAAAATGGATCTGCAACCACAAAGGGGTCCTCGGAGCAGTCCCACAAACGGAAAGAGCCATGGAAGTGAAAGAAGTACTTTTGAAGGATGACAGGCTCCCAGCTGAGTGAGCATTGGGAATCATGTGGGATCTAGAGAATGACGAACTTGCAGTCCGAATCCAGATCCCAACGAAGCCACAAACTAAGAGAGGTCTCCTGATTATGGTCAGCTCCTTATACGACCCATTAGGAATCATCGCTCCGAGCACCATACGAGCCAAAATCATATCGGGTGGGATGAGCAAATGACCAAACACAACAGAGCCGCTTGGCGGCAGTGGCTAAATGAACTTCCCCACTAGTCTCAAGTACGCATCCTTCGATGTTACCAGCCTGAATGCGCAAATCCAATAACTACGGTACAACTGCAACACTTCTGCGACGCCTCCCAGCAAGCATACGGGCTGTATCCTACCTCAGGATCACAAGTGGAGACGGAGCCCACTCTATCTCCTTTGTGTGTGGCAGAGCCAAGCTAGCTCCTCTGAAACAGCAAATCATACCTCGGCTCGAGCTATGTGCGGCAGTGTTGGCGGCCAAAGCAGACAAACAACTGAGAGAAGAACTAGAGTTGCAGATCGGCAGATCAGTGTTCTGGACAGACAGCATGGTTATCCTTTATAATACATGCGAAACACAAAACAGCGCTTCCATACCTTTCTGGCAAACCGAATTGCAACGATACATGAGAATTCCAACGCAGAACAATGGCGACATGTGAGCTCCAGCCAAAACCCAGCTGATGAAGACAGCCGTGGACTGCATGGGGCAGAATTGAACAAGGACTGCAGATGGATTCAGGGCACCCTCTTTCTCATGTTGGGAGAAAACAATTGACAAAAGAACCCAAAGCCGATTCCAAACCTTGCAGATGGAGACCCGGAGGTAAAAGGCGATACAACAGTACTGGCAACGAGCACTGACCAGGGGGAGAGTACCCTAAAAGGCTTTGGGCAAGGTACTCCTCATGGCATCGGCTACTGAAAGGTGTGGCATGGCTCAGGAGGTTCATACAGTGGCGCTTCAGTGATCCAAAGGAAGAACGCCACCAAGGAGATCGACTGAAGATCAGAGACTTGGATGAGGCAAGATTATCTGTCTTGCGACTGATACAAAGGGAGGGTTTTCCCCACTAGGTGGACGCGTTGGAAAGCGGACACTCCGTCAGGACTGGTGACGTAAGCAGACTGGAACCTTACCTGGGTGTAGACGGCCTTATCAGAGTAGGCGGCCTACTGAAGCGTGCTGCTCTCCATTCAGACCAAAAGAACCCCATACTATTACCCAGGGACAAAAAACCCACAGAACTTTTTTTTTTTTTTTACTGGGATTAGCACACCCGGGCACAGGTCACTGACCCATATCGGGGCCTGGGGACGAAAATATTATAATAATAATAATAATAATAATAATAATAATAATAATAATAATAATAATAATAATAATAATAATAATAATAATAATAATAATAATAATAATAATAATAATAATAATAATAATAATAATAATAATAATAATAATAATAATAATAATAATAATAATAATAATAATAATAATAATAATAATAATAATAATAATAATAATAATAATAATAATAATAATAATAATAAAGAACCATAAAGAAACACAAAAATGAAAAAAAAATCAAAAGTGAGAAGCAATATACTGTATGTATGTTGTGTTGTCAATAGTAAGAGAAACAATTGAGACCCTGCAATTGTGTGTAAATGAGGCACAAGTCAGATCGAGCAACCTGGGACTTGGTCACAATTTTCGTGATGCCACATGGCAACAGGGTCTACCATTAGACAACACATCATGCTACCAATATCTTCCCAGGCGGTAGTACCTCTCTGTTTGGTAGCTGCTTACGACCTACTACCTCATCGTACTTATCGTACAAGGGGTACATTTGACCAGAGCTGGCCACTCAGGACGCGAGCACACTCCAGTCGCGCTACGCGAGACATATTGGATACCCAAGTGCCATAAGTTGATTGACCGAGTACTACGTACGCGTGTATTTTGTCGAAGAAGCAATTGGAAGCATATCCAACAACGCCAAACTGACCTGCCAGAGGACCGGGTACATCCAAAAGATCGACCATTCACCTGCACCGGAGTCGACTGTTTTGGTCCTTACGTGTTGGAAGTCTCAAGAGAAAACAGGTTAGGTGTTGGCTCTATGATGGAGATAGCTACACTCCCAGTCCCTGCCCAGCGTCGCATGCCCAGCCCTGGCTGGCCGAATTTGCTGGGTCAGGTGTTTATACACAAACAAGCTCCCCTTACTATCACCCAACACCTCAGCCTCCTCTGGGTCTCTCCATGTCCACCATGTCAATACTCTACACACTCTATACGGGCAGGTACACCCAATAAACATGAGATGACTTACAGCCTAACATAATGTTTGTTTATGCTTCATCCTACTCATTACTGCTTGCGGTAACACTACTCATTACTGCTTGCGGTAACACTACTCATTACTGCTTGCGGTAACACTACTCATTACTGCTTGCAGTAACACTACTCATTACTCCTTGCAGTAATACTTCTCATTACTGCTTGCGGTAACACCCACTCTGTTGAGTGTTCACGCTCAAAACCAGATCAGGCCTTTGATATTAAACTTTGTCACACTCTTGTGACTATGCTCACTCGGAAAAAATTATTTTCTTCACTAACAAGGTTTAAATATTATCACCACAATAAATCTACAGGCGTTGCACTGTACATCGTGACACTGGGTACACACACGCACACACACACATCCCTCGAGTGGTGTGTGCTGGTGAGCCGCACTGACGTTGACCTTGGTTTCTCCCTCCTAGCCGCATGTTGACTGCTACACGGTAGACCACTACACGTTTGACTATAAGCGCCTTCCGGACGTTTAAAGGTTAATCAGACTTTTCACGTTAAACTCGAATGTTATAATTTGGTCAAACCTGTTGAATACAATTAATTTTAGTATTTCGGATAAATCATACATAGGCAATCATACATAAATGTTTAATCCAATAATTCACATAACAATCATAGCTATGTAATTAGTCTAATCTTAACACTTATAATGAGTACTTAATTTGCCATATTTCTATGTTGTCACAATGATAACCGATGCAATGGACACAGTCTACCTGTGTAAACAATATGTACAAGTTAAACTTAGGTGTTGGAAGTCTCAAGAGAAAACAGGTTAGGTGTTGGCTCTATGATGGAGATAGCTACAGTCCCAGTCCCTGCCCAGCGTCGCATGCCCAGCCCTGGCTGGCCGAATTCGCTGGGTCAGGTGTTTATATACAAACAAGCTCCCCTTACTACCACCCAACACCTCAGCCTCCTCTGGGTCTCTCCATGTCCACCATCTCAATACTCTATATACTGTATACGGGCAGGTACACCCAATAAACATGACATGACTTACAGCCGAACATAATGTTTGTTTATGCTTCATCCTACTCATTACTGCTTTCAGTAGCACTACTCATTACTGCTTGCGGTAACAGAGTGTTTACAACGAACTTTGCTGAGGTGTTAAATGTGAAACAGATGGCCTCGCCTCGGGGCTGACTAACTCGCTCCCTGAGGGGTTCAGAAGATAGTTTCTAACCGTCCAGTGAGCGAACAAGTCAGGGAGCTAATAGGTCCTACATTAGACCCGAAACACGTAAGTTTTTATATGAATTAACACCCTACTCTACTCAAACATATCATATGTAGTTGTTAATAGCGAAGGAACGTACGAGTGAACTAATTATCTCATATGTAACATCTGTCTTTTGTACTCTGCAGGTTTTGACCGAATAAAGAACAATCGAGTCCTACGTGCAAGGGTCTCATTATCCCACAGTCGCACCAGGGCGGTTACATTCATATATCTAACCCTTTGTAGGGCGATGGCCCACTTAAGTATTTTTTTCTGGCTAACGCCAGACAATTTTATTCAGAGGAGAAAAATCCCTGCCCTACAAAAAGTTTAACACCATACTGGTATTGCAAGTCGGCTATTGACCCATTCCTTCCTTAAAATCAGATTCCCACCAATTCTTTTATTTATATGTAAAGCGGCAAATGTGTTGAATAAGAGATTGGTTGAAGAAAAAAAATCAATATAACGACTTGACCTTGCAGGTGAGATTTTTTCATGTCATCCGTATCTTTTAAGCGTTGATGTAATTGATGGCTTCGAGAAGCTTGTCGATGACAATGATCTTCCTCAAGAACTTGTGTTCTACACTGGATGTGAAAGAGGTCGAGCTAATCGAAGACGAAAAATTACTCCAAATTTCCCATTGACACTTCGAATGTCCAAAAGAGAACAGAACAAGAGATATTTCGAACCAGCAACAGTCTGGAAGGTTACTATAATGTACTTCAAAGCTTAGTGACGTGTATCTATCCTAATGTTTGAAAATTAATTTCATCTTTGAAGAAAGAAGAATATTTAGCACAACTGGAGAAAGTCCAATACGATCGAGGTTACAACAACGACAAGAAGTTACAGATGTGAACATACGGCAGCAACTTCTTCTCGATAGATATAATCCACATAACAAGATCCACTTTATAACTTGCAACACTATTTTTTGAAATACCACTTTTTAACACTATAAGTAAAACATTATTCAACCCCTTTTCATTATCAGCTACCAAACAGGGAGGTACTACCGCCTGGGAAGATATTGGAAGCATAATGTATTGTCTAATGGCATACCCTGTTGCCATATGGCATCATGAAAATTGTGACCAAGTCCCAGGTTGCTGATCTGACTCTTGCCTCATTTACACACAATTGCAGGGTCTCAAATGTTTCTCTTATCATTGACAACACAACATACATATATTGTTTCTCACTCTTGATCCATTTTCATTTTTGTATTTCTTTATTATTATTATTATTATTATTATTATTATTATTATTATTATTATTATTATTATTACTATTATTATTATTATTATTATTATTATTATTATTATTATTATTATTATTATTATTATTATTATTATTATTATTATTATTATTATTATTATTATTATTATTATTATTATTACTATTATTATTA